AAGACCACCCAGCTGTTACGTCTATTTGTTAGGGGAAAGAGAGCTTCTCGACAGCAGTAGCCCCCGCCAATTAGGATAAAAGGGGTTAATCTCTGCTAATGAGGATAACATCTGACACTCATTGTTTAATTTAGATGCAATGTGGCACTGCAGGATTATATGTGAGCTCCTTTCTAGGTTGCAACTTCAAATATTTCTTTCTTTATTTGATGCGAGAACACTGATAAACACTTAAAAGACTGTGCTTTACAGAGATAACACAAATATGTCAGTGCTTTTGAATTAGTGGAAACAGAGACAATCTGTCAGAGTTGTAGGATACTTTTATGGGTTCAACTCTCAGATATTAAATAGACACTTGATATAGTTTTAGGCTAAAGATCTTTAAAGACCAATGCACATTTCAATGAAACTACTTTAGCATCATTCCCATCTCTGCAGAGCCTGGCATCAAAGGCTGAATATGTTCTGGACCAAATGTTAAGATTCAGATACCAACAACAAGAGAAGAACAGATACAAGACACTTTATTTTTATTTAATAAAAGACTGACAGCTTTTCTCATTACTCTCAAGGCTGGTCCTGTACCTTCAGCTGCATAAAGATTTAAACCCCTGAAAAGCACATCAATGACTGTGAACACTGACCCTAATGTGGAATGCTTAATTTTCCCAGACACAGCAATTTACTGTAAACAGCTTCTTTTTAAAAATCAATTTACATTTAGTCAAAGAAGCCTGATTTTTTTGTAATATTCTAAAATATTCATTAGAAACAAAGACTTTGAGGATTTAATATAAACATCCTATACAGTGCGTTTACACCCTAATCTTCTAAGGCTTCTTTTATGGCATAAAAAGCATTTTGTTTGTTCGAGTCAGCACCAGCTAATCTGAATCGACACATTCATAAGGTCAGGCTGGAGATCCTTCTGCATTCTGAATTGCCTTTATTCCTCACTAACACGTCATTGGAAACATTCATCACATAGGTTTAGTCCATGCTGACATAATAGCATCCCAGTTTCTGCAGATTTGTTGGCTGCGCATCCATCCGTGACACAAAACACCCAAACCCAAAGGTGCTCTTTTGGATTGAGATGTGGTGATTGTGGAAGCCATTTGAGTATAGTGGATTCAGTCATGTCATGTTCAAGTAACCAGTCTGAGATTATTTGAGTTTTATGACATGTTGTGTTATCCTGCTGGAAGCAAGCATTACAAGATGGGTACACCGCAGTCATAAAGGGATGGACATGGTGAGGAAGGATACTTATTTATGCTGCGGTGTTTAAATGATGCTCATATTGTACTGAAGGGCCAAAGTGTGCCAAGAAAAACATCCTACACCAGTACACCACCATCAGCCTGAACAGTTTATACAAGGCAGGATGGATCCGTGCTTTCATGTTGGGGGCACGCCAAATTTAGACTGTACCATCCAACTATCACAGCAGAGATCAAAACTCATCAGAAGTTTTTCCAGTCTTCTGTTGTCCAATTTTGGTGACCTCGTGTGAACGGTATCCTCCGTTTCCTGTTCTTTGCTGACAGGAGTGACACCCAATGTCATCTTCTGCTTCTTCTTCAAGGTTTAAAGTAATATGTGCATATCTTGGCTGTAATGATCGGTTATTTGAGCTAGTGCTGCCTTCCTATCAACTTGGTCATTCTCCTCTGACCTCTGGCATCAACAGATAACTGTTGCTCACTGGATATTTTCAGACCATTTTCTGTAAACCCTAGAGATGGTAATGTGGGAAAATCCCAGTAAATCAGCAGTTTCTGAAATAACCAGACCAGCCCGTCTGACCCCAACAACCATCCCACATTCAAACTCATATAAATCACCTTTCTTCTCTATTCTGACTCTCAGTTGGAACTTCAGCAGATCATCTCCAATACTAAATGCACTCATTTGCTGCAATGTGATTGGCTGATTAGATATTTGAATGAACAACAATATCATAAAGTGGTTGGTAAGGATATATGTGGACTTTATTTACTCCATGTTTAACCCTTGTGTGGTGTTCATATTTTTGTTACTCAGCCAGTGTTCATGGGTCTGGTGGACCCGCTAGAGTTTTGGCTTTCCAAATTAACACTATCAAACAATTTTATGTTAAATTACTCAACAGATGTTTACTTCATCCCAATTACAAGCCATATGAACAGCAAACATGGTTAATTTTTTCCCTTTACCTTTGTTAGATCACATTTATGAATTAATGTGCTTCTCGTTTTTTTTTGTTTTTGTTTTTTTATAAAATGTTATAAAAAAATAAATCAGTTATAATCAAGTAGAGTGAGTGGAACACATTTACACGTGAAGCAATATGTTTCACAACTAAATGGGATCAGCTGCTCATCAATGGTGACATTAGGCCCAGGTTTGTAAAACAGGGGGAGGTGGTGCACACACTTATCCCACACTGTCCTGATGGCAGCTAGCTTGTCTCACTGCCGTCGAGCTGGTCTGTCGTCTCGGTTATCATAACGGATAATCCTGGAAATTTTGTGGAAGTTTTCCAGAGACACTGATGAACGGAAAGGTTCTTGCCGGTTTCTGCATCCCACAGGGATTCTGTGGATTCCCCTTTGGACCTGAAAACTCCTGCAAGGATAAGAACCCCAAAGTAGGCCTTTGAATTGAATTTGGTCCATCTCCTTCCACCTCTCTCCAAAAACACACCTTCCTTCTAGATTACTGCAATCCAGAATAATTTTCTGGATGGAATCTGGGATGAAAAGCTCAAATGAAGACTTGATGTCCTGCACATGAGTAACTGTCAGCCATGTTGGCCCTGGCTTATCACAGTAACAGCTCTGCAGGGTGGCTCATTTCTTGGGCAAGAAGACCATTCAATTTCACCAGTTATTGACATCCATATTTCTTCACTTGCTGTCTGGTGGGCTTGTTCTGGTCCTGGAGCTGGCAGCAGATGGGGTGCTCGTCTTCGTTTTGTTACTAAATGATGCTCAACCTCATCCTCTTCTTCAAAGTCACTGTCAGACTGAATTTTCAGAAATGTGAAATATTCTGAAACCTCTTTGTCAACATCATCATCCGAAGCCCCTCTTCCAAAATCAATTGGATGGCCCTCGCAGCAGATAATCTTTTGCCATCTTGATCAGTTGTGATAAGGAACCACACTGGCAAAGTCTTATTTATAGTATTATGCCCCTAATTTGCAGGTGGGACAGGGTATGAGAAAATAAAATTTGGATCCCTCAAGAAAGAGGGTAAAATGTGTGGGAATGTAAGAGCAGACGGTGTTGATAGTTGAATTTTCAACAATGTTGCAACTTTGTGCGGGAGCAGGAGGGGAAGAAAACACTATCAGCAGCACGAGAAAGGAGGAAGACAGAGTGTGGGAACACAGGACCTGCACTTTCAACACTTTTATTAGACCTGGGTCCAGTGGACCCGAACACCTTGTATGTAATGTAAATGCGTGGGGGGAGGTACAGTATGAGGTCATTGAAAATTAGTTCGGATTTATGTTCTTCACAGAAAATAAGCCAAAGCCAATGAATTTCAGGTTGAAAAAATAATTAATTGTTTAATTTTTCTTTTGAGAAAAACTGAAAACGGGTCTCACAGACCTGAACACCATACAAGGGTTAATGTCATAACTTTAAAGCTTCTCTATCAAGTGTGTTGTGTAACCTGTTGCAACACTAGTAGTTTTATGCACATTTTCTCCATTCCCAACAGGCTTTATTCTATCTTTGATGTTAAATACATAAATAAAACTATATTTACTATATTATCTAGTGTCACAGGGCTGTTCCACAATATTCTCCATGTGTTTAAAAGCTTCAAAACATTTTTGAGTTTCATTTGTTTCTGTCAGTGACTGCAAGTCTCTTTGACACTGTAAGAGCTCCATCTGGTGTAATATTTGGAAAGTACACTCAGTGTGGTCAGTGTTTCAGGTGTGCTGTGGCATATTATTGGCATATTATTTCTAATTTGGTTACTTGGCCAAAATCTTTTTTGATTTGTTTTGCATGCAATTTCAGATTTAAAATTCTGCATATAGACATATATAAAAGTTAAATGGGCCCATTAGTCAAAGTAATTAACATTTTTCATGTTGGTACTGTTCAATCACTGCTGCAGGTTTTCCTGCCATGAACTCACAAAGCAAAAATAAGGAAATGGAAAAAAAGACACTATTTATTAATGAAATGTCAGTTTTACCAGATGGGGAAAATGCCCTGTAATCAAAAGCGTTTTTGGCAGTTACAATAAATGACACAGTTCCATCATTTTCAATCATTATAAATAGAGTCACAAAACAGTAAACCCACAATTTATACAAATAACTGTTCTTCATTTTAAAAGAGAAACCGTCCAAGGATTAGAGACTCAGGCTGGTCTCGCGAACATAAAGGGTTTTCTAACCTGCAAACTTGAAAACTGTCACATTTCAGTTACAGGCTGCATTTGTACTGTATGTTTTCTTCTAAAAACAAACTTTATCCTTCGTTTTCATTTCAAGAGGGAAAAAAAAAATGCTCCAAATGGTTTGGTTCAACATCTTAAAAACATTTTGTTACAAATCATTTGGTCAGCAGTGTATTTAAATACAGTTTCTCTACTGGAAAATGCTGAATCAGTAAAACCTCCTACATATCAAAAATATTAGCATCACCAAAATCCTACGCACAAAATATCCAGTAGCGGCTGACAGGCATAGGATTTTTAAAACCAATACCGAACAATATTTTTTCTTCTGGCTTCACAAAACATAAAGTTCCCGAACATTTGTTATCTGTAATTTCTTTATGAGTCCTTACTGAGATATCATGACAGCGTACTTTAAAAATAATCTTGCTTTATTGTCACAACAAGTTGCAGATTACTCGTTTATGCTCAGCCAGACTCTACTCAGATCAGCTGGTTGTGTTTGTGGCGTTCACACTAATGCTGCCCACAGAGATGTTGCAGAGGGTCCTCTGGTTCACACACTACACCAACATTCATACCATGGATGAAGGGCGTGTTCTCCATCTCTCCTTTACTTTTTAATTTTTATTTAGGATGGTTATACATAGATGCCGATATCAACAGCGAACATACCCGCCGCGCCAATATAACAGTTGGACTCAATTAATCAGTAGCATAACAATTAAAAACAAAATTATGTTGTTTGAACAGTTCACTATTCCCTAATCTACTTGAAACCTCGCAGCCCCAGTGAACTTCAGTGAATCTAAAGGCTTTTCATCAAGCAAATGCCAGGAGTTCAGGATAAAACAACCTTTTTAAGAAAAAAGTAAAGTCTAGCATTACTAAAGGGCACACATGTGTAAACTGAAGCTACATTACAATAAAACTAATGAGCTTTTTTGTCCCTCTCTAACAGTGCAATAAAGTTAAAGACCTTCGGATTGATGTAAGAAATGCAGCCTTTAAAAGTCCTCGAACAAGGGATCAAACATTAAAAAAGAAAAGATGGATTTTACATAATTCCTGATGCTACATGTTTAACTAACTCTATAAAACTAACGATCTACTTCCTCTGATATTGAGTGCAACTTTTAGCCATTAAAAACGGAGTGCGTAAGAAAAACAAAAACTGACAGTAAAATTATTCTTAGTCTACTTCTTCAGCAGCACAGCAGTGGTATTTATCTAGATTTCTATGTTTACATCAATGTGAGAAACAAATATTGGATCTACTCCACTCCCTAGGAAATAGAGGCTTTTGAAACAAACCAACAGGTAAACAGAAAACAGGAACATATTCAAAGGATAATTTCCATAACTGTCTCCATAAATAGTGCAGTTTTTCTAACAAACTGCAATATAATCAGTGCTTTTACACGTTCACATACTTTCTCATATGTGGAAACATGAAATTACACTGGAATTACACTGGAGAAGAAGGATTACTTATTGTTGGAAATGCGTACATTCAATACAAAATATGCTGTTTAATATCCTGTTATAGGTAGTTAAAAAAAAAAAACCTTTCATGTTCTTGTCTATGAATTTTAATAATACCTTTATAAGAAGGGCTTGCTTCTTCTTTTTGCATCTTTGTGAATGCATACCAGACTCCCAAGGCCCGTACTATGAAGCTGGATTTGGCAGACACTCATCTTGCTCCTTTGTCTGCAGTGGGTGTGTTGCTTTCAGTCTCTTTTATGTGTTTAACCTTTTCATGTTTCCCCCATTGTATTATTTTATCTTCCTTTGTAAAATCAGCTGCTATACTGCCAGCAGTTGTCCACGTTTGTGATTGGTCAGATACTGCCAACACCACCCCTTTCAATTGAAGGTCCAAAGGAGACCCTGGGTTAACTTCAGGGAGTCAATAATTAGCTTCACGTGACTGCTGAATGCCAGCGTTAGCAAAAGTGAACAGGTAGCATAAAGACACCCTGGTATGTTGAACTTTCTTCATAGTACAGGCCTCAGGAAGAACAGCTAAGGCCGACCTTAGCAATAGCTTAATAAAACAAGCATATTGATATCATCACAATTTAGAGATCAACAGCAAGCTTATTTTGGAGATGAGGTGAAACAACTTTCTTCTAACGAGGGGTCTAAAATGAGTCGTTGTTAAAAAAACAAACAAACCTCAAAATCAAACCACAGCTGAACATATGATTAACACATTCCCTTTCAGAACAGACTGTGAAGTTGCTAAATAACGAAGCCCTTAAATGTGAACCTTTGCAACGAGAAGCTGAGCACTGGCTATAAAATATATAACAAAATAAACCAAACCCATCAACCATATTTGCACTGCCACACAGAAAGAAGTAGAGCAACCATAGCTTTATATTTACACATTTGATTTTTTTTTTTCCTTTTTAGGCTATAGAGTAATTCAGTTAAGCTACATTAAATAATTTAGTTATCATACGCCTACCAGCGCAGGACGGACTATCTTATTTTCTGGGAAAAGTACAACTGAAATCAATTTTAACTTGATGTCACTGAGTGTAAAATGATTATGAAAAGCTAATCAGTGCTCTGTGACAACAGAAATACTGAGCTGGGTGTGAGAACAAATGCATTCAATTATAAACCCACCAACATAACGGGAAAAACTTTGACTGAAAAAAAGCTCTTCCATCTTGTTTCAAAACTTTTCCCAAAAGTTGGGCTTGACTGGGATTCATCAGTGTTGTTCTTCATATGCATTTTTTCCTGGTTTGAGGTTAATCGGAGCATTTTAAGAATCCAAAAATCACTGCATTTTCCGATATTCTTGTTGTACACAAATGTACAGAAAGTTGGAGTACATACTGCACATGAGAAAATACGAGCCTGTTATTGTACTTTTTCAATCTTTTGTTAAAAATCCACAAGACATCTTCGTTATCGTGGATCGAGCCGATTACGTCCTCGCTCTTTCTCGCCTGCACTGAAAACTGCAGCGGTGCAACAAATTTCGCTGTCCTGCGCTCCTCAGACGCCACAGTCGCTGGTTCTGTCTTGGACTTTGCGAGTCAGGATGAGCACGGTAGACAAGGAGGCAACGGAAACGTGGAAGAGGAGCTGCCACGCGTTTCTCAAGCCGAGCAGGTGCAAGTTGCATAGGACGATCACACTTAACAGAGTGAAGCACTTCAGTTTCTTCACAGATGAGTGGAAAAGGTAGAGGTGGCACTACGGAGCGATTCACACGGAGAAGCGTCAGAGAAAGATGGACGGCAGCATATTTCTGTTTGCAATCAAGAGTCAAGCTACTATGTGAACTACTATTTACCTGAAAAACACAGCAAGCAAATGCCAGGAGAAATGCCACAACATTCCAAATGCTTTCATAATCATCCTGCGAAAACAAAAATAATACGTAAACTTTTTAAAAAGTTGATTTGTTTTCCGGTCTCAGTCGGCTTGCTGCGTTTATTTCTGATTAATTCACCCAATTTGTGCACACCTCATGATAACAACTCAGCTTTCACCGTAAAATGCTAATGCACAGCGGTCAGTTCAGCCAGCTTACCTTATCTGTAATTAAAATTAGCTTACGCAAGCCTATTTCCAAATATCCCGACTTAAACAAACAAACAAACAAACAAACTGGTTTGCTATGCAAGAGAGAAAGTTACAACTTATGATTGTTTTTCACATCATTTAGACTCCCCAAATAAACAGCACCATTAATAATATTTGAAATGACAGTAATCAGATGCCAGCACTAATTGTACCTGGAACGTGTACTCCATGAGGTGAACCCCACGGATAACATTCAAAGACGCACACATGATATTGAGGATGAGAGAGAGGATGCCCGGGGCCGTCACTGGTTCCAGTCTTTGATTTTGACCTGTTAAACACAAGAAAGCGACAATATAAACACTTCAAAACAAGAAAACACAATGAGAAGCAAGAAAATATCCTCATTCCTGCATTACAAAGAATTCATACTGGCTGTCAAAGGCAGGAAGCAGAGTGCTCTGTTTCAAGTGCTTTTAGCCTTACCAGATCCAGGACCCTGCTCCATGTGCCCATTTGCAGTGCCATTGGTTAGCTCCACCTCATCCAGGTTTATTACTTGAGGTGGATGGATCCTCAGCTCCTCCTGGACTTCTGCCAAAGTCACCTCTAGGGCCGGGCCACCACTGTGGTTGTACTGCTGCTTCAGCTTCTGAATAATGCTGTCTGTCAGTTGGCAGCAAGATTCAGAGGTAAATTCAAAGATTTAATTTATTTAATTGTGTGTTAACACATCTTAAATTTAAAGCAAAAGAAAGAAAAAACTTTTGCAATCCCAAAAGACACTATCAAATCTATATGAGGCAATTTCGCTCCCCTCACCAAATTCCAAAAATGGATATGGCCTGGCTGCCAAGGCAACAACAGTGCTTTTGAAGCATGCTGTGAACTCCCAGCGCAGATCTTCCAGGAAGCAGAAGGCTTTAGCAACAGGGAGGCTGCAGTGACACACAGTCATGTAGGATACACCCTCTGAAGAGACGAAGCTGAACAGGTGAGAGGAGAAAAGGTGTTTAGTAAACAAACAGCCTGAAGCAGCGTGACGTGGATGCCCCTCTGTTCACATGGACAACACTGCGTATGTCGACCGTACCACAAAACCAAATACGTGCCGATTTGCTTTAAGGCTGTGTGTTGTGCATTTTTGCAGTTAGACAGGTTCTTATGAATCTGTGTGCTGCTGCTGCTGCTTTTCGTTTGTTGCGTGCTTACTATATATTGAGCTCCTGGCCCTTAATGGTCCCTCTGTCGGGGAAGCGGGCCAGCGCCTTGCTGATGGTCTTAATCTGCTGCTTCCTCTGCTGGAGCTCTCGGTTGTGTTCAAAGTCTGTGGAGGCTGACAGGGGGAGTCCATCCCTGACCCGAACCACAAAGGCAAACAGGATCACAGACATTATCCACTCGGTCCATGAAGCACACACTGCCTACGCAGAGCACAAAGCAAGATCAGATTACTGTTATCATATTGATTGGAATAGCACATTTAAGTTGGGGATATAGTGCTGATGATAGCTGTTATATAAACTGTCAGTAGTATAAATAAATACAGCTAGTATCATGCTAATAACACATAAAATAAACTGAGCTGTTAGTCTTACACTCAAATTTAGTATTCTATATTTTTTACACTACATTTTCCTTTCTTATCAAATTGTGTGTTATTATTCTATTATAATAAAATACTTCATGTAGAATATTTTGGTCACAATATTTCTTCTTCTTCTTCTTTCAGCTGCTTCTGCCCCCATCGGACCCTATCCTCAGAATTGTCCTCTGGCACACCAACTCTCCGCATGTCCTCTTTCACTATACATCAACAAAGCTCCTCTATGGTCTTCCTCTTTTCCTACTGCCTGGCAGCTCTGTATCCATCCACTACTCCTGCTTTCCACATATCCAAAGCATTTCAGCCTTGCCTCTCTAACTCTCTAGCTCTAAACCTAAACAAAATAAACCTAAACCTAAATAAAATCTTAACATTCTCACCTCTGGCACCTCCAGCTGTGCCTCCTGTTTTTTTGTTTGTTTTTTTGTCAGTGCCACCGTCTCCAAACCATAAATGAAAGGAGGTCTAACTTGCAAACCATCTAGTAAAACTTCCCTTTCACTCTTGCTGGTATCCTTCTGCCACTAATCGCCCCTGACATTCGTAACACTCCCACCCTACCTGCCTTGTTTTGGATGGTTGAATCCAGGTATGTAGCCCATCGACATTCATTACCTTTCCTCTCCCTCTTAGTTTACTAACTTTCATTCCTCTTTTCTCCGGACAATACCTGCACCTTTTCAGGTTCTCTCCCACTTGCTCTTTCCTCTAAGTACAAATCCCAACGTTGTCTGCAAACATCATATACCAGCGAGACTCCTGTCTGACCTCACCTGTCAATTTGTCCATCACCATTGGTAACGATATTTGTCTACGTGAAATGTGATATTGTTTTCATTAATTCTCCTTACATTAACTAACTAAATAAATAACTTTCCGAAAAAAACTAAACACTGCATTTCAGACTGCATTAGGTTTAGTTGGTGTGAATAGATGGTAACTGAACAGGGAAACTGCGTAGGTTTAAAATCTCTGTAGTCTCTGTAGTTAAACACCACTTAGAAATCTTTGAGCTAAGACAATTTAAACACTCGTGACAACATCTCGTTGCAGCTTACCTCATTATCATGGGTTTCATGCTGCACCTTGTCCCTAAGCTATTGTAGTTGAGCTGACTAATGCATCTTATCACAAACAAAAACACGCCATAAGCAGGCAGGAAACCCGCCCCAGCTTCGCGATGCAAAAGCAATCAATGATCGATAAAGAGAGCCGTCCTTAATAACGACTTATAATAGCGAAGTAAGACCTTAAATCAAAATTAGTCCAGCGAGCTAACTTCAAATGTGCTTCCTGATACAACAAAACCACAACAAATCTTCTACGGCAAGCCGAAAGGGACAAAACTACTAAACTGCCCACCCACCAGTCGGCTTTCTAACCAGCACTCGTCACTCAAAAAAGGGAACTCAAATGCTAAGTGGCGACCGTCAGTGACTAGCTGATTCTTGGCTAGCTACTGTACAGAGGTAAGTTACATAGATCAAAGCTTTTAATAACCTTTGGTAGGATTTTCAGCGTTGAAATAAATGCTAACAGTCTCTGCAAACGAGTGATTTTTTTTTACGTAAGCTGCTTAGCTAACTTTAGCCAGCTCCTAGCTGTTAGCTCCGCCGCTTTGGAAAAGCGCCTAACATTTGTGTGAACAGTGTTCTCGTTGTAGCCTGGGGAGATTTCACACCGTTTTAATACTCGCAGCATGGCTTAAACCCTCAGTAACCTTAGGTCGTTTTCAGATAAACCCGAGCTACAAGGTGTGCCGTGCTGGCTGCTAACGTTGTACAAGAAATGCAAAAGGACATTCTCGGTTTCTGGGTTTACAGCATTGTTTTAAGGTTTTGTGTTTTGTTTTTTGTTTTGTTTTGTTTAGTTTTGTTTTGGGGGGGGAGTGCGCTTTAGTGGTTACTGTAGTCTGCATGACATGCAAGGTAAATATCTAAAGAGCTCAGTGGAGGAGGGACTTCTCCAGAAGTTGGTTATTGTTTTCTATTCGTAGCAGCCACGATCTAACTGTTCATGCAGATGCCATTCCTCGTTAACCAAACATAGTCAAGGCTAGTAATATGACACGAGTTCTGCTGTAAATGCAATGCAGCTCTGCTTATCTGAAAAGACAGGCCTCTTAGGCGGCTATGTATAGATTCAGTATTATCATCTTGACACCTTGATATACTTCCTCCTGTGCAGTAATGCCAGAAAACACTCCAACTTAACACCAAGCTCACTTCTCTTCTTGTGTTCTGGGGGAAAGCTAAAGTTAAACTATAGCTAATAACACAAAACACTGCAGCTCATGTTCACTCACATCTCTGCACAGTTAAAAAAAGAAAAGAAATATTGAGCACATACCATGGACATGAAAAGAAGAGAATTTGATGAATGCACATTGCTGAGAAGTTGTTGTGATTTCTTTTTTTTTTCTTTTTTCCCCCCTCTTCCGTACTGTGTTGCACTTTCATTACTCGTAAAGCTCTTTGGCAGTTCAGTCTGCTCACCCACACAAATTCCAGATAGACCAAACATTTCCTTGTACTGTAGCTGTCATTAAAACTGCATTGCTCAGACTAAAAACATTGTGGTTTTCCAACTCATGGCTCAGCAGTAAAGCTCTTCAACAAGTTGGTGCATGGTTTTGAGGAGATTTCTTTTTAATGTGTGTGTGTGTGTGTGTGTGTGTGTGTGTGTATATGTATGTATGTATGTGTGTATATATATATATATATATATATGTATGTATGTATGTATGTATATTTATTGTCACATGATGAAGGTAAACATTGGGATCTATTGATGGTGCTTGCTTTAATTGTCTGCTGGGTGCTTGTCCATATATAAATCAAACATGCTCAAACTAAAAGCTGTAAATACACTTCCAGGTTATTGTTAATGTTACAAAGCAGGCTCAGCCAGAGTGGTGACATTTCAGTGTTTGTCACAGAGCAATAAATATACAGTAAGGAGTCTGTGGTGCGCTCTGCTCGGATTTGCATAGCCTCTGTATGTCCCTACAGACTTCTCTCTCTGTCTCTCCCCTACCATTGCTCTCTCCTCCCCTTTCTGTTTCTTCCTCCTTTGCTGTCATTTAGTCTCTCCGTTGTATACAGCCTCTTTCCAATGTGCTGTGTCTCTGTTGGCTTAAACATACGTATAAAAAGGGGGGGGGGAAGCATTGTTTTTTGTTTTTTTTTATGCTTAGCTTCTTTTGTTTTTGCATTTTAGGTCATCTGGACTTTGATCGCAATGGGGGTGAAAGACCGCCCTCAGTGTTACTTTGATGTGGAGCTCAACCGGGAGCCAAGTAAGGGAAATCCTTATCAGTTTACAGGTGGAGGGAATAGTTAGTTAGAGCCTACCTTAACTTCCATACTTTGAACTGATATGTAAAAAAAGGATTTTTAAATTAATGTTATGTATAGATTTTGTTTTTGGTGTTCAAGCTTTTCATTGATATTCATTTACAAAATGAAAGTGGCTCACTCAGTGGTGAATAAACTTGATAGACTGGTTTAGCGTCAGCTGTATCTGTGCTGAGAGGTTATATTTCTATATAACCCCTGATAGCTGCTCAGAATGGAAATATTGACCAGACTGTTTTAGTGACTTTATCCTGAAAGATGTAGCTGATGCCCTTCTTCCACAGCTGTCCCTCACATAGTATCAGACTTGCCATTAGCTACAGAGAGGTTTCTGTAATAGAAACTTGTAGCTTGTAATAGAAAATGTAGCTGTGAACTATTAAAGATTGTTTCCGGTTGTTTACATGTTGTTGTTTATATGTGATTTATTTTGACTTTGTTTAAAGATGATACTTTTAGTGACTCTTCTTTCCCCCTTATGTGTCTTGTAGTTGGGCGTATAGTCTTTCAGCTTTTTTCGGATATTTGTCCCAAGACCAGCAAAAACTTCCTCTGTTTGTGCACTGGTGAGTAATCCTCATTCAGAGATATCTTCCAGTCAAATGTCATGACCTTACAGCATTTCGTTAATCGCATATTTGAATAATTCTGCTTAAAAATGTGATTCAACATGGCAAAACCCAGACTAAAGTGCAAGATTTTCACTACTTTAACTCTAAAATTTCAAAACTACTTGATTAACATGGAAAAACACATTTCATTTATGTAGCTTTCTTTTCTGTGTATTTGTTTAAATTCATTTTTATCAAATGTCAAATTGTCCCCAGTGGTTTCATAACGATGCAGGTAAATAGTGAATTGTAGCAGGTTTTTAAATCGCCAAATAAATAATCCACCAGATAAATAATCCACTTTGTTGACAAAAGGCTGTTTATCGATCAAAGTCTGCACAGCATTATCACCACAGGCTAAAGACTGAAGAGTCGGCAGGATTGCTGATGTGGGAATTATTGTCCAGCGGTAGTAGTGCGTCAGCACTCGTTGGTAGTCCGTTGAGCCACCTGCACAGATTGTCCGTTGTCAGATAGGGGCAGTGTCAAAAATCTCTGGGGTACTCCGAAGCTGCAGAGAAGAGTGATGGCACTATTGCCATTGCCATTCATGGCAGATTGCACAGTGTTTTAGTTTCATTTAGTTTTGTTTCTGCAACACTGAGTTGAAGACACGTATGAAGTGTATGATAGTCAGTTTTTAATTGCCATTTTAATGATATATCCATACACAAGCTCATAGTTTGACACACTACACATGGAGGGAAGCTACAGCAGTTTGAAAAGATTAGACTTTCTTGAATAAACACACACGGCAATGTCTTTGCTTCCAGTTTTGACTTCTTTCCTTTATCAGCACTGACGTGGCGACACCTAACCTTCAGGAGAATACTGCACACACTACCTGCGCTTTAACAGTGAGCGTAAACAGAAGTGGTTCTGTGACAGTGATAACATCAGCGTGCAAAGCGACTAACTAAAAGCTGAAGTGAGGGGAAAACAAAGTTAAAAACAACAAAATTCATTTACTGCACCACACCAGTCCGTAGTTTTCACGCTGTATCTTTTCATCTGTGATGGATTTTTTGGGGGGTGCTTAACTTCCTGTTGAACTTTGAAGGAATTTACAGAAACATATTTGCAGTGGTTTAAACCTCTTTCCAAAGGCTCGTCTGCTTGTACAAATGACCATAAATAAAGTGTTAAAGGGGCAAATTTCACTCGCTGACTGATCGAGTCACAGCTTTAGAGAAGAGGTTTTCTCTCACAGTCGAGAAGTTTGCTGAAGTTTAAGCGTCAGAAACTGTTCAATAAAATAAAATTTCTGACATAATTTTGAGAGATAACGTCCTGTGATGTGCTGCATCACAGATGTTGTCAACCTCATCTGTTTGGCCTTACAGAAGTGCAACTTAACAAGGTTTATCCAAGCACTGCAATACAATAGCAATGAGAACGTTATTAAATAAGTGAAATAAAATGACAATAACGTAATAAAAAACATACACCATTTTATGACTTATGTTGTGGCTGCTCTGTTTTCTAGATATTTCATCCCACAGAGCAGTGTAGTGTACTGTAGAGGCAGTGGTTTGCCTAGAGAAAGTCATAAATCTGCAGACACATAGCCGAGCAATCCCCCCGTCTCATTTTTCACCCTACCTGGCCAACAGGAATGCGATGGCAGCAAAGGCAGACATGGGAAAAGGCTCGTTAGTCTGTTCCTGAACCAACACATGCACAGACAGCACACCAGTGAAGCAGTAATACACACCCGCATTCAGCTGGTGCAGTTTGCTGACTTTCTCAAAGTTTCTAATGTGTCCTTTTAGAATTGGATCAGCTCACTCCAAAGGAAACCAAACCCCTGGAACAGTGCCGAAGCCAAAGAAGTAAAATACTAAACCCTTAGCTTAGCTTTTCAATAGGACACACAGCCTCTTTCTGCTGAAAGCCACCTTCAACACATCACCACATCTAATTAAATCCTGCCTTCACGTCATTTCACCCCAGGAGTAAGGGGACTCTGGAGGGTAATAGCTTTGGGCCAGTATTGTGTCCCCGGTTAGTATTGGTCCAGTGGAAGATTTATTAATGAATTTGGCAGTCCTCCAAGGGAGTACCAGCAGGATGCCAGACCAAAGGCATATAGCTTACTGAAAGCCACCACCCAAATGTGGTTTTCATTCCTTTGTGGCAATATTAAAAGCCTTTTGTTTCTTAAAACCATCTAGTAAACACAGAAGCACTTTGTGTATTAGCAGGTTGAGTGTTTTTGTTTTTTGGTGAGAGCTCAGTTAACATGAATGTCATTGCAGGTGAAAGGGGAACTGGGAAAGTCACAAGGAAAAAGCTGTGCTACAAAGGCTCCACGTTTCACCGAGTTGTAAAAAACTTTATG